TTTCATGTTTCACGGATCAACCCAGTCTCCTCCAGTCCCCTCTGTCCACCACCGGCTCCACCTCCTCCTGCCCTGGAGGTGGACGGTGGCCTTGCATACACCGTCAGGCAGATCCTGGATGTTCGCCCTAGGGGCCAGGGTTTCCAGTATCTGGTGGACTGGGAGGGTTATGGTCCGGAGGAGCGTTCCTGGATTCCCCGCTCCTTTATTTTAGATCCTGCCCTTCTCACCTCTTTCTATCAGGCGCACCCGGACAAACCTGGGGGGGGGCCCGTTGTTATCTTCAGTACCATCCTACCCGACCAGCCCAGGAGTGTATCCCAGTGTCCGCAGCCCGGTCATCTTCACATCATATCCATCACTGACTGTGTACACCTCCGAAGCTCGACACCCGGTCCCTCCATTACTCCACTGTTAATTTCTTGTCACTTATTATCACTGTAAATAAACTACCACTGTCTGCACCGAAGTCAGCCACCTGAGTCCGTCTAATTTTTGTGACTCGCTCGCTTCTGTGTTCGAGTCACCTTAACAAAAGGTTAGAACACATGAAGTCAAAAGATTTGTGAGGCAGGGTAAAAGATGGATGGATGAACTTCACTGGCATTGACCGCAAGCGATTTATCTGAGACTTTGCTCACACACTGGCGTGCCGTTTCCAGCAGACAGTGCTGAGGAAAAATCCTAACTCGGAAGTTGCACAAGCATTTCCTCTGAAGTCAGATTAGGCCTGAAGTCTCACTCAGATCATAGCTACTCTTGCTGTTGGGCTGTTTTAATTGTTTTGCCGCTTTGAATTTTTAGCCTTTCACAGGAAATTTTTCATTTTTAGCTTTTGTAAAGAAATCGCTTTATGGTAACCACGTTGCCCATCACTGAAGGAACAAATCAATGCAGGAAAGCCAAACTTAATAAGACAAAATATTGGCTTTCCCTGAAAACCTGCTCACACTGTCCTCCCTCAAGTAAATGCAAAGACAAACCCAGTTGAAATAAAAGCTGATACTCATAATTTTAATATTTGGATATTAAATTTGTTCCTAATTGTGTTACCAGCTGGAGAAGACAGCTGAAACGATGAGAGGCTGCAGGCAAACAGAAGGCAGTGTTTTGGACAGTCAAGCTTTTGGTATTTGCTTCTTTCTCAAGCACAATAGCTGTCTGACATCTGGGTACTTTGTATCATAGCTCTGAGGATTTAAACAACATTTAGCGAAAGGAAACAGCTGCACTTACAATTATAATGCTGATGTTCTGCATGTAACATAAAACAAATATGCAACAAGGTTCAACAAGTCTTAGTAATGGTGCTGTTTAAGTTTTTATGACTTCCACTTACTGTCACTGAACTGACTCAGAGACGAGTTTGGCTTTCGTCTGAATTCCCAAACAGTTGAATCACTAACCTTTGAGGACTCACCCCTTCACTTTAAACCTCAACCTGACTTTCACTTTCTACAGCTGATTAAAAGACCAAGTTGGCTCCTTATGCCGAATGACTTCTGCTTGGTACTGAAGAAATCAGTTTTTATCTTCTCCTGCCTTGGCCCAGGTCCCTGCTGCACTGGAGGATGCTTCTGAAATACAAAGCATCTAAGAGAAATGTCAAGCAAAATTCTAACAGTTCAGGCAAAAGCAGGATGCCTGCAAGGTTTTATGCTCTCTCTTTCTCTTTTTTTTGGCCTGGATATATAAAATGTACTGATTCAGCTATATTACACTCCTCGATTCATAACGTTGATAAAGTTCGCAAGATTGGCTGCAGTTAGACATTAATGGTAAAATCCTGAAGCTGTCTTCAACAGTGACTGGGGAGCACTATTCAGGTACTGAACTCAGAGGGATACACTACACCAGATCTAGTTTAGATCATTTACTGCAGCATACAGAGTGACTAAATCAGTGTTTTCTAAAAGTTATTCAACTTTCAGGTCTTTAAGATACGATGGAGCCTTGTCATTAAGGGCTTTGTATGTTAGGAGAAGGATTTTAAATTCTATTCTGAATTTTACAGGGAGCCAGTGGAGAGAAGCTAATATGGGAGAGATATGATCTCTCTTGCTAGTTCCTGTCAGTACTCTGGCTGCAGCATTTTGGATTAACGGGAGGCTTTTTAGGGAATTATTGGGACATCCTGATAGTAAAGAGTTACAGTAGTCCAGCCTGGAACTAACAAATGCATGGACCAGTTTTTTAGCATCACTTTGAGACAGGATGCTCCTAATTTTTGCAATATTGCGCAGGTGAAAGAAGGCAGTTCTAGAGACTTGATTTATGTGTGATTTAAAGGACATATTCTGATCAAAGATGACTCCAAGGTTCCCCACAGTAGTACTGGAGGCAAGAGCTATGTCATCTAAAGTAACTATATGATTAGACAGCAGATTTCTAAGGTTTCCAGGCCCAAGCATAATGACTTCAGTTTTGTCAGAGTTTAGAAGTAAGAAGTTACAGGTCATCCAGGCCTTTATGTCTTTAAGACATGCTTGAAGTTTGACCAGCTGACCTGATTCATTTGGCTTCATAGATAAATATAACTGAGTATCATCTGCATAGCAATGGAAATTTATGTTGTGCTTCCTGATAATATTGCCTAAAGGGAGCATGTATAAAGTGAAGAGAATTGGACCTAACACAGAGCCCTGTGGAACGCCGTGACTAACTTCAGTTTGTGTGGAACATTCGTCATTAACATGAACAAATTGAAATCTTTCTGATAAATAAGATTTGAACCAACTTAGCGCAGTTCCTTTAATCCCAATAACATGTTCAAGTCTCTGCAGTAAGATGCTGTGATCAATGGTGTCAAAAGCAGCACTGAGATCTAAGAGGACAAGTATGGAGACAAGTCCTTAGTCTGAGGCTAGGAGAAGATCATTGGTGACTTTCACCAATGCGGTTTCTGTACTATGATGGACTCTAAATCCTGACTGAAAATCCGCAAACAAATCATTCTTGTGCAAGTGGTCACATAACTGCTTTGCAACAGCTTTTTCAAGGATTTTGGAAATAAATGGGAGATTGGATATTGGTCTATAATTAGCTAGGACACCTGGGTCAAGAGTAGGCTTTTTGAGTAGAGGTTTAATTACTGCAAGTTTAAAAGCCTGTGGAACACAAGTATAAATGAGGTCTTACAGATGTTTCTAAAGCCATTGTAGTAGATGGCACATCCATGAGAGCTGTGGGAATGGCCCCGACCAATTTTTTCTCTAATAGTTGTGATTTTATTTGTAAAGAAGCTCATGAAGTCATTGCTGCTGAGATCTAAGGGAATGTTAAGCTCAACAGCACTGTGGCTCTTTGTCAGCCTGGCTACAGTGCTGAAAAGAAACCTGGGGTTGTTCTTATTTTCCTCAATCAGTGATGAATAAAATGCGCTTCTGGCACTATGAAGGGCTTTCTTATATGTTATTAAACTATCTTTCCAGGCTATGAAAAACTCTTCTGACTTAGTGGACTGGCTCTGTATGCTGTGTATTAATCAGTGTTGTCAGATTCTCTGGTTGCTTACCAGGCCTTGGTGGAATGAAAAATATCTCCTAAAGAACCAAAATGGGGTGACTTTTATGTCTGAACAAATTTGGGGATACAAAATTTTTATAAATGTGCATCTGCAAAAGTATGCATATGCTAAAACCAGGTAAAAGCCTTTAAAAAAATAAAATTGCTGTCAAGTTTGCTCGGCCGCTCTGGCCTCCCTCACCTTTCCTACTGTCTCTTGCCCATTAACACTAATCACATTCACCTGTTCCTCACTCCCTTATCACCAGCTGCACTTGATTAGGTTGCTCACTATATTACCCGGTTTCACTCCTCAGTCACTTGCCAGTTCGTTCTCGTCTCTAGGCCATTTTTT